TAAGTAAATTATATTACCACATGCTTTGTGTTTGCCTTAAGTTTCTCTTCCTTTTGCCTAATCACTTTGGGGCCGTTTGGTTCACACAGGGGAATCAGAATGAAATACAAAAAGGGAATGGAGGAGAATGAAACGAAACCCTCAAAATTAAGCATAAACAAGTTAGGGAATCACACCACCATTGCACCACCACAACACCTGTCCTTCATTTTTTTCCAGCCACCCCACCTCCCAACCAACAGCCACCCCACCGGCCGCACCTCATGCAGACCTCCACGAACCCAAATCCAAACCCACGCCACCCCCAAGAACCACCAAGACCGAAACCCAGCCAAGCAACCCCACGAACCAAGACCGAAACCCAACCACGCAACCCCACAAACCACGACTGAAATCCAAACCCATGTCCGGTGAGGTGTGACAAAACCACGACCGAAACCTAGCCAAGCAACCCCACAAACCACGTCCGGTGAGGTGCAACCTTTGGTTCCGGTGGAGGGGAGGGTTTTTTAAGGGTTATACGTGGGTGGGGGAAGGGTTTTCGGGTGGGAGGAGGGCGGCGAGGGTCGGGGAAGGCCGGCGAGCATCCGGCGAGGTGCTACTAGTCCCGGCGAGGTGGTTTAGGGTTAAGGGGTATGGTGGTGGTTGGGGAAAGGAATGGGAAAGGTAGGGGGGTGGGGGTGGGGAATGGGATTAGGAGGATTTTGGGTAAACTCAAAAATAAAAAGGGGGAATAAGAATGACAAAAGAGGGAAAACAAACACCAACAAAGGTAATCATTCCCATTCCCTTTCCCCATTACAGCGAACCAAACGCCCCTTATTGCTTTCACATTCCCAAGCAATATGCATGTTCCGTTTTAAAACATTTAGGCTAATTTGTCATAAAGAGCTATTTATGGTAATACTTTCGTCAAAAATGGCCTATTAAAAAAAGTTGACGAAAAAGGACCTTATCTAATGAACTAAATTATTCAATTAAAGTTTTGGGGGTCATTTGGTTCTTAACGATTAAATTTTGAAAATTGGCAAAAAATACCGGGAACATTTTGGTTTGGGTATGATCAAAATGAACTTTTTGAGATATTGTTGGCATGCAAAACGAAGCATTTCTGATAATTCTTTGTCAATTTGACCTCAAATTGGATTTTTAAGAACTAAAATGACCCTCAAAAAGTTTAAATTGAGCCATTTTTTCCGCACGCAAATTGATACGACTTCGAACTTGCAAATCAAGACATAAATTATAACCACAAGCGAGATTAATTGGTCCGACTCACAAAATTTAGGTTTGATGTATGAGGTATGGGTTTAGAATCGAAATTCAAACCAGGCCATGTGTTTTTTGTTGACGATTTTAAGAAGTTTAAATCCATACCTCACACGTTGACCCAAGGTATAGAGTTTAGAAACTTACAAAAGAAGTGAGTTTGACTCATATCAATAGTTTCAGGTATCAAATAAAATAATCTTCATAATTGAACTTAATACATGATACACGTATACTAATCAAGGTCTAAACCCATAACATCATTGTTTCATTTATGATTTCAATCAATCTCATATTTACCACTACTATGTGTACTGTACTAAATGCATGGTATAGTACTGAAATTTATGTAGTAATTTAAGTAAAAAACACAATTTAGAAATAAAGTAGGATTTTTGTTGATGTTATAATAATAATGTTTACATGATCTGATTGATCACACATGAAACTTTTATACGATACACAATATTACAGCCAATAATATTGTTAATTACTGTCTATAAAACTTGTTGCAATTATAAATAGAATATGGCATTATGCAAATTGGCAAGTTGTAAAAGTTTTTATCTAATTTAAATTGAGTACATAATTATTGTTAATAAATCACCGGAATTTTGCCTTTCTTTGTAGACAAAAGGTCATTATTCAAAGTAGATTAATAGTTTATACTCGAAAAAAAAGCCTATGCATGCACTTGGGAATAAATTATTAGGGAGGGAAAACTAACATTGTATCGGTATCATACCAAATTCAATCCTTAGTACGGAACTCGAATAAAAAATTCGAGAAATTAAAAACAAGTATAGTTTTTTTGCGGCGGTCAAAGGTGATCAATGCAAGTGTTCACATTGTATTGGTCAAAGCACTCCTTAGCCCCCTACAAGAATGATGAGGAAACATGTCAAGCTGAAACGAGTCGTATTGAAAGTCAACATACTTATGAGGGAATATCCCCTACAATATCCTAAAAATAATTATGATCCATGTACATTTACTACGTATTACAATTTATATTAATCGTAATAATGTAAATAAATAAAATTTAATCGTAATAACGTATCTTATTTTTTTTCCTCGAAAAAAAGTAATATTCATTTCTTATGTTATGGTCAAAGCACTTCCTAAAAAGGTTAGAGTAAAATAAACAATACTTACCCAATCAACCATAACCCTACTCTTTTTGTTCTCTCGTCAAACTTAGTCATCATAGTTTAAACTCTTTGTTCATTCGTCAAACTTAGCCATCATAGTTTAAACTCTTTGTTCACTCTTCAAACTTAGCCATCATAGTTTAACCTAATAAGTGCTTCCATTGATACATCAGTAGCCATATCATTGATGGTAAGCCTCATATACTCTTCTTCCTTTTCAGATCTTTAGTCAGTAAAGATCACCTACAATATAGTGATTGCAGTCTGTTATATCGTGTAGTGATTGCAGTCCGTTATATCGAATAGTCAGTTCTCTATAATATAATGAGATCTCATGTTGTTAGTCATGGTGGCTAGGATTCTTAGTTTTATTGTTTGTAGTGTGCGAGGGAATACAAATTAAAGTTGGGAGATTTATATTACAGATTTGTGAAATTGAGTGTCTATTGCATATATATATCAATGGAACACATACCACACCGTAAAAAATGATGCAACCTCTAAAATTATCCGAGAGCAATTCTAAAGCACGATATTATTATTTTAGGAGTGTTTGATAATTTATGTGGAGTATCTCATAGGGATAATGTGGCAAGTGCCGGTTGACTTTTATTCAATAAAATCACCCTTGCATTCCCCTATTCCATTTAATTAAAAAAAATAAATATTTATCAACAAGATATAAAAAAATGAAAAAATAGGTAGTGTCCCCCTAATTTATGATTTTTTTGCCAATTTTATACTTGTAGCGTTGATATGAGCTGCTAAATGTTTGCTACTCTATTCATTTTTCTAATGGGATAAAAGATAAATTTTGATGATGTCACAAATCTTCAATAAGTTTGCCTGAAAATTATCTTTTGTAAAGAAAATTCCTTTATAATTTTTCCTAAAGTAAATAGCTTAATATCGTGCTTATTATGGTTGTTCATCATAAACATTATCTTCAATTAGAAAGTGGGAAAAGTCAACTTGTCATTATTGACTTAAAGTTTTTTTTTTTTTTTTTTTTTTTTTTTTCATCCTTTGGACTAATTCGGATTTGGGGATCAATTTTAAATGATTAGGTTCCAAAAATTCTATTTTCTAGTGTTATGCCAATCAAACATCTTAATTAAGTTCTATATCTATCTACGTACCTTCTACGAGTAGTAATTTCTATTTCTCTGTGCATAAAGTTTGTTATTAGTCTTGACCCACAACACAACCACAACAATATATGTATCTCAAATTAGAAATAAATTTGTCAAAACCCATCACTTGTAAATTGTCCATGATAACAATATATAGTCAAATTAATATACACACATGCTTTCACAGAGGATTGAGAGCCATACGAAAAGATAGAGGTTGAAGGAGAGTACGTATTCACATTGAATAATGAAATACTATAGCATATACTTGGACATAATTCGATCCAACTCTCGGATAGACAGATACCACTCTCAAAACTTTATCAACTAAACATCCACCCAACAAGGACAATTTTTAACATATATAATATTCATCCTCTCTGATAAAATATACTCCGTATTTCATATAAATCAATGTTGAGTTTAAACCATGCATCAACTTAAGTTTTTGATTTAAATAAGGGATGAATGAAAATTTCGACTCTTTTTTTGTCACGCTCTCTTGCTACATATTATACTGTATCATCGATAAAAGCCGAAACTAAAGCAACAAAATAACGATAATGCCCTCTAGTAGCTAACAAAAGTGACAATGATGGAATCAGGAATATTCCTATTGTATTTGTATTATTACTTTATTAGGATATTTTCTAAGGGTTACCAACGAGGCCACGAGGATCACGCGTATAGTAAATGGTAAACAAAATCATAAAATCTTTTTTAATTGGGTTTTTCTATATAGCAACCCTTTTTAATTTCACTTTTCTGTGTTGTATCCCAATGTATATAACTTTTCACACTGTAACCCCAAATATATTTTATTTTCACACGGTAACCTTGCCGTCAATAAATTTTATTAGTGGGGCAGCTCTCCATTAATTAATATTTTTTTTATCGATTTGCGCATTGGAAAATGTTCTGTTAAAAGATTTGGGGGCTATTTTGTTCTAATAGGTCCAAATTAAGCTCAAATTTCACGAAAAAAATAACATAAATGGCTTGTTTTGCGTATTAAAACGTGAACATGCAAATCGAGACATTTCTTAATAAGCAAAACGAGGCATTTAAGTTTTTTTTTTTTTTTTTTTACCAAATATGAGCTCAATTTGGACTCTTAAGGGCCAATATAGCCTCCAAAACCTTTAACGAAACATTTTCTAATGCGCAAATCGATAAAAAAATATTAATAAATGGAGAATTGACCCTACTAACGGAATTTATTAACGGCGGGATAACGGCAAGGTTACCGTATGAAAACAAAATTTACTGAGGTTACAGTGGAAAGTGATATATATTGGGACACAACGTAGAAAAGTGAAATTAAGAATGTTATTATATAGAAAAACTTTTTTAATTTTATTATTACTCTTATTATTTTTTAAGGAAAATTATATAATAATTTAAAAGAGGTCGTAAAGTATTTGGCTATTGACTCAAACACTATGAAAGCATTAATGCAACTAGCGTGTACAGCTTTTCAAATACACCTCCATAATAATCCATAAATATGTTATAAAAAGTCACACTCCCAAATAATTTGTCGCAAATTTCTCATTTCCTAGAAGATCATATCATATTGTATATTTCAAACTCTTTATAGTTTAAATATAAATAGAGGATTTTACAAATGGCTTTGGAAGAAAGCAGGGTAGAATTGACAGAAGAGAAGATGGAAAAAATGGCGATTTTACCAGATAATAACAATAACTCAGATCAGCATGAAACTACTCCTAAGTCTAAGAAAAAGGGTGGTATAATTACCATGCCTTTTATTATTGGTAAGTACATTCTAAAGATTTTGCCTTTTCATATTCCTTTTAATATCTGAGATTACTGATCGATCTCAGCTCATAATGCTAGACTTGCTAGTTCATGTGTGTGAGATTGTTCAATCTCGGATATTAACATATACTCATACTTTAATGAGCATGAATTTAGAAAATAGTCGTTTTTGATGAATTTCTTCGGTTTAACTTTTGTTTTTTTTTTCATTTGGTGGACAGTGAATGAGGCTTTTGAGAAAGTAGCAAGTTATGGTTTGTTGCCAAACATGATATTTTACTTGATGAATGTTTATCACTTGGAAGCTGCAAAAGGAGTTATTGTATTATCGTTATGGTCTGGAATTTCCAATGCGTTGGCTATTGTTGGAGGTTTTCTCTCCGATTCTTACTTTGGTCGATTTCGAGTCATAGCTTTTGGAACCTTCTGTAGTCTTCTTGTAAGTTAACTTTTAGATCGGGTATTTTTTCATTAGTCTTAACTTACGACTTGCTTGGATCGGAGGTAATAAGAAAAAATAAAAGAGAAATTCCACTTTATTTTCTCTTATTACCCTGGTATGCCGTTAAACATTACCCCCAATCCAAGCATGTCGTATTTGATTTCTAACAGCACGTAATAATCGTGATCATTTTCATTAGGGAACAAGTTTACTTTGGTTGACTTCCGTAGTCCCAGCACTAAAACCAGCACCCTGTGCAAAGTCTAGTTCAGAGAGCTGTTCATCAGCTACACCGATCCAATTCCTTGTCTTGTTCGGCTCTTTCGGCCTGATCTCCATAGGAGCCGGTTGCGTGAGGCCGTGTTCGTTAGCTTTCGGAGCTGATCAAGTGAGCAACAAAGACAATCCCAACAATGAAAGAGTTCTAGATAGTTTCTTCAACTGGTATTATGCCTCAACAGGGTTGGCAACTATCATTGCATTGACAGTTATTGTGTTCATTCAAGATAAATTCGGGTGGCCAATCGGATTCGGTGTGCCTGTTTGTCTTATGGTCCTTTCTCTTGTAGCCTTCTTTTTCGGGTCACCGTTGTATGTTCATGTCAAGGTCAAGGACAGCTTGTTTATTGGTATGTTTTGTTCGTAACATACTATGCTATTTCCAAATTTTATTATTAGATTACTAAAATAGTTATCATACATGCATATTACCTACTATATTAGTAGTATGTAAACATAGTTTATCATATTCTTGACATGATTAGTTCTTCTAAAGAGTATCATGAGTACATTTCATTTTTTTTTTTAACCTAATGGCCTAGGTGCCGATATGATCCTTTTGTGGATGGTCGTTGTACTAAATCTAGTTTTATAGCTTGTATCTCAGACATGTTTATGTTTAATTGTAATGACTTAAGTATTTTAACCCCCCACCCTCGTTTGACTCTGTTTTGTTTTCTTCTTCTAGTGCTATTTTAGCACCTAATTAATATATTACCCCCTTTAACCCAAAAAAAAAAAAAAAAAAAATTCCAATTGGTTGTTGTGCAGTATTGGGACTGTATTTAGTAGGGACGACCGTGTGTTTGATCCCACACAACAATAATTGGAAGAGGACTGGAACTTAACCATCCATAACTGTTCTTAATCCGGATTAGTCCAAAGGGTAAACCAGGTGAAATACCACAAAAAAAAAAAAAAAAAAAAAAAGCTCAATCTTATTTTATCGGAACATTTTTTCTAAGCGTATTTTATGAACCGACCCTTAGTGTTATTATTACAGTACAGAGTATTATGTATCCTAATTTGCCAATTGTCAATTGAACTTATGATAAATCTGGTCACTCTAGTGCTACCTTGAACTACTATGTTCTATCGATTGTTGTCTCTCCTCCATTTTATTAATTACTGTATAACAAACGAATGGTAAAGAATGCTAAGAGCATGGTCACACATGATGAACTACTACCAGTTCACGGAGAAAAGATTTACCATATATGAATTTATTGAATTTGGTTCACGGAAATAATGAATTAAAAGTAGTTTATGACATGAATGGTTCTTGAAAAATCCCTAGCATGAATTGACTCACTTGCTTAGAAGTGGGCCCCACGAGTTTCGGACAACTTAAATTGATTTCCCATCTGAACGAGAATTAATACATGTTGATCAGCCCATCAACAACATTATATATATATATATATATATATATATATATATATATATATATATATATATATATATATATATATATTTTAATTTAAGAAAAATTAAAGTTAATCTGCAAGTGCAACTAATAAAAGTTCTTTTTTTTTTAATAAAAAAAAACAAAGGTAGATTAGTGCATTAATGGAAGAAGACAAATTGTCCATGAGTATATACGGGGAAATTTCACTAGAACAGTGGTTTTTCATCCATACTTGTTCGACATCGAACGACACTAATCTAGTGAGATGATGGGTAACACAATTCCCATTCCTCTACACATGAGATCACCCAACATAATCAAACCAAAAAACCAAAGACAAAACATCATCTAAACAAAATTAAACCCAACATAAAGTTTTAATTTTACAGCATATTAATTAGCAATTTTATACAACTATAATACAAGAACTAACTTTATATGAAACATACTTATCTGTGATTTCTCTAAATATTTTCAATGTATATATAGAAGTTATATTTCTTTCTAATTTTTAAATTTTATAAAGAACAATGATGTTGATAAAAGCTCGTTCGACAGAATTATCCTCAAACATGAAATTAATTTAACAAATTGATATTGATGTCCAAGAAAAAAGAAGCAAAAAAAAAAGTCAAACAAGCTAATAGTACTTTTTTTTAATATTTTTAATTAACTTAATCTTAGGAGTGAAACTGGTATTATTTCCGTTTCTTTTTATTTTCAACAAATGATTTTTTTATGTCGTCTCACATAAAAATTAAATAAAGATAGTATTTTTTTTTTCCCTCTAGTTTTACCAATTCTTTATTCTCTATATAATTATATTTTCCTTCTATTATTATCTTAATTTAATATACGCAAGTGCAAGATTTAAGTTCAATAAAATTGATTAAAAATTGTTATAGAGTTGTAGCCGTTGTAGGCATAACACATAAGACAATCGATCGCACAAGCATGTGAATGATGTGATCATAGTCATCTAACCTAATAAAGTTATGAGAATAGATCTATAGTCTTCACTCTCATAGATTAACGTAACATCATAATATAATAATCTAGTAATTAACTACTTTTGACATAATATGATATCAAAGCAACTAATTTAGATTTTCTAAGAATTATTTAAGCTCTTGGCGTTACTGTGCTTCCTCTTGGCGTTAGTACGTCTATGTATCATGCAAATCAGGCCCCACAAACATAAATATATACTCAAAATGTAATCATGCTAATAATTGCGATAGCTTTAATGTTTATTCGTATTTGTATATTAATCAACGTGTTTCATGACTTATAACATGTCCCTTTTACCAGCGGTCGATAATGTCTTTGCATGTCATTAAATACGGTCAATATGTCTCGTGATCACTACCAGTGGTGTTACCAGGATTTTCGAAGTGTGGGTTCGAAACTTCGGAAATTTGAAATCGTAATTAACAAAAGAATAAAAAATATAATAATTAAATATTCAGTACATAAATAAGTTCAAACTATGGATTACAAATAGATTACACATAGAAAAATGAAAAAAAAGGACTACAGAAGCATTATTCGAGTCTTCATACTTTGGAAGCGTTCCAATACATCATCATCACTAACTCTTGAAAATAAATCTCTCTCAAGAAAAGTGACTAAATTATCATTCAATAGTTGATCACCCATACTATTTCGCAACTTATTTTTTACGTATGTCATTGATGAAAACACTCGTTCCACGCTTGTAGTTGCAACCGGAAGGATCAATGCTAGTCTTATAAGCAAGTAAACTAAGTTGTAAGTAGTATGCTTATTTGTTTCAAGCATCATAGAAAGCTCATGAATACCCTTCAAGTCTCCAAACCTTGCATCTTGGCGCACATCATTAATATAAAATTGAAGCTCATGACGAAGTGCAGTCATCGTCATATCATTAGTTGGAAACTCTTTGGAATATAACTCGGCAAGTCTCAACAATTTTTGCATATCAAATGCCGCAAATAAATTGAGCGGGTTTAAGCATGACACACAAATAAGTAACTCCATATTTTCTTCATCAAATCTACTATTGAGCTCTTGGAGTTGTAAATCAATGACTGAATGATAAATCCAAAAGGCTAATTAAAACTATCGTAATTAAAGATTACAGTCAATTAGTAAACGAAATCCAGAAGGCAGAAAACGAAATAGCATATGAAATTATGAAAACCAGAAGGCAGAAAACGAAATACGGAAATAGCATATGAAATTCAACAATGTAACAAAAAAAAAATCCCCAAATTGAGAACTTGAGAAGTAAATTAGCAAATTATAACCAAAGTTCAGCAATTTACAAAAAATCCCCAATTCGTAATGTATATTAGCATATGAATTTCAGGTATTCAACGATTTAGCAAAAAAAATCCCCAAATTGAGAAGTAAATTACATTTGCAAAAAAAATATCCCCAAATTCACTTACCTACATACACGGCTGTCAGGCTGTGATGGTGGGTCTGCTGGCTGCTGCGCCGTGTCGCCGTGTTCTGCTGCGCCGGGAAGAGAAGGAGGAATAAGTTAGGGTTTTGCAATTTGGGGGAATGAGGAAGAGGAAAGCTGAGAAGGTAAGCTTAGGAAACAAGATAAAAAAAAAAGTGTGAGTTACGGGTTTTGAACCCACAAACTCTTGTGTGATGGGAGGTAAAAATAACCACTGGGCTACAGCTTTACTTTTTGCCATATAATACATAAACATTCTATTTAAACCTATTTCGATTTTATTTTATTTTTTTAAAAAAAAAAGTTTTTAATTTTTTTCAAAAATCAGTGGGTTCAATGAACCCACTTGAACCCACACTGGCTCCGCCCATGATCATTACCTAGTTATACGAAGGAAAAAAAATGATCAATATGACTGATTGACAAGTGTTTATGATAACATGACAATATAAGTACTTCGTACAAGTCATGCATTCATGAAATTAATAATGAACTTGCATTAACATAGATATATATTGACCTAAGATAATACTTGCATTTTTCTTTTTTTCACAAATTTACCTATAGATTTAGATGTTTCCATTATCATCGATCGTTACTTATTCTAAGTATTTATCATTCATTCTACTCCGTACCAAATTACACAACATTGGTGGTTGAACAAATAATTAAAGTTTACTGATGATATGATACGAACTTTAATTAAAGTTTACTAATGATATGATACAAACTTTTTTATTATTATTATTATTATTATTATTATTATTATTATTATTATTATTATTAATGTTGTTGGTGATGGTGTTGTTCTGAAATTATTATTTTTGAATATTAATATTTGTTGTTCAACTTTAATCAAATAGTTATATTTGTAATTATTGCTGATATTTGATTTTGTACTTATTTAATGTAGGTTGAGGGTTCGGGTGCTCGTCATGCAATATCACGACGTTTGAATACGTATGTTAGGAGGGAATCATGTCGTTCAGTAATTACGGGGGCACTGCTTCGTTATGAGCAGCAATATGGGTCTCCTAGTAGTTGGTCGGGAGAGCATCAGTCACAAGGGAGCCGTTCCATGTACTCTTCGGGTGGACTGCGTACATCTGACGATGAGGACGAAGAGCGGGCAAGTCATGATGATCGAGACGAAGAGTCGACCCTCAGGCTTATCATACGGTATATAGGGGTCAGCATGGGAGATTTATTAGCAGTCAAGCGAGTTAACCTACTACCAGCTCAGCAGAGACATAGTTAGTGCAGCAGCCGATGCCAGGTGGTCCTGAGGATGGGACTATTACCCCTAGTTTTGGTGGTCACATGGCGTCATATATATGGGGCGGGAAGGAGCGAAATGTTTTGCGCTGTTTGAGTAGGACACAATTATGTTCTGAATTGTTTAATTGGCGAGGTCGTCTTGCACAGGAGCACCTCGAATTGATTGATGGCAGTGGTCTGTCTCACTTACCTGGAATTATGTTTAAGCGTCTCGACTGGTCTTTGATTTATGCTTTTGTTAAGAGATGGCAGCCAGATACGAACACATTTCATATGCCATTTGGGGAGATCATGATCATGTTGCACGATGTGTACCATATTCTTGGGCTTCGTGTTGATGGTTCCATGGTTTCCACTACCCCTAGCACGGACGCCATATGGGACGCAGAGGCCCTTTCGTGTCCATTATGCTGCATACATGTGGTTAGTACTAGGAGGCTCACTGTTTTTAGACAAGAGTGGTAACTGCACTCATCCTTCCTTCCTCCACGAGCTTGTTGTTGAAGGTGTT